GGGGGGGGGGGGTTAAAGGACGTGAGTGTTGGGTTGTGTTTGTGCGTGTTCACTCAGTCACCCTGCGATAAGAAACTAATTCCAGAGATTTTTCTCCACAATTCCTTATCCTGCTATTGTCTGATCTGGAGGCCATTTTGTGCATACACAAACACTCAGGGCACATGTGATCACTTTGCATCCTATGCACATAGAAGTTGTGACAACTTGTCCTGAGTAGTAACTGATTTCCAGGGACAGGTATAGGTTCACACAGAGCACAAGAAAAACCACCTTGACTAAAGGGCACTGTGGACATTGAGGAGCAAAGGTGCAGGTGTTTGAGCAGCCAGAGCCTCACGTGTCAGCTGATTTCTGCAGAATTCACACTGACCCTGTCGTGTTTGAGATTTTTAGTTTCTGTCCTACAGCTGCTTGTTGGATGCTGTCGTTGGGCGGAGCCAGCCAAGGGTTTCTTAGAGGAATCAAACAATGGATGATGCACAGATGATGGAAATGCTCTTCTCATGCCACATTACTGATTAAGACCTCCAAACATGTCATTAATGATCCTGGACAATGAGCTTGTTAGTGAAATCAAACTCCAGCTCGCTGTTAAACACAGAACAAAGTGTGTTCCCCTTTACAGCTCCCCCTCATGTCCTCCCTCACCCGCTGTCTTTTTCATCTGAGATGTAATCCTCAACATTACTTAGTCAGAAAAAAAAAAAACCCTCCATCGAACACATCGTTTCTGTGTCCGGAGCAGAGATGTTTGTATAAATAACATTCCAGTGTGCTCTCTTCCTAAGTCAACAAGTGCAGAGAAAAGATTGGAAGTCGTGATGTTAAAAAATAACATGTGGACCAGCTCCACCTAGAAATCCAGACTGTGAAGGTTCAAGTGCAGATTCTATCATCCGAGTGTGTTCAAGTTGCTCTAAGGCTGAATTTCAACAAAGCAACTTTTCTTTTCCCTTCATGCACGAGAAGATAGGACTTTGCAGACTTTGCTAATGTTGCACCATAGAATACCTCAGATCATAACACACATTAATCCCAGTAAAGCTCCAGTGCAAACACAGTGTTCGGCTCGTCGTGTTGATGTGACTTGGACAGATGTGAGCAGGATGATGTCAAATTTCCCAGATGAAAACCTTTGAGCTCATGAGGTTTGGTCTTGATGAGCATCCAGCTGTAGGTTTCTGGTTAAACTGCAGAGATGCATGAAGACATGTTGAAACGAGCAAGTGCTTTAATATATTTTCTCATTAATAATTATCAGATAAAAGTGACACAGACCAAACAAGCTCTCGTTGTTTTCAGTGCTGCAACGAATTACTGTATTATTAATTCCACAAGTGATTATTTGGCAGATGTGCTCCACCTCTGGTCTAATGTCAGCTGCGATTTGGCTTTAGCCCCAACATGACCCTCAAAGGATAAACAGTATACATGATGGTTGGATTAGTCTGCTTTGAGTTTACCTGACAAATTAATCAACGCACTGAAAAATGTCATAGTTACCATACGCATGAGGTGATGTCTGAATGGATCCAGTTTATAATCATGAAAAACTAATTAAACTTGCAACCACTGACTTCAGAGAAGAAAAACAATTGATTATCTTTAAAAATACTTTAATGGTGATTGATTAATCAAATTATTGTTGCAGGTTTATTGGTTTTAGTCAAGAAGTCAGTCCTTTCTTTCTAACTATGAAAGATCCATCATCCATCTATCCATCTATCCATCTATCCATCTATCCATCATCCATCTATCCATCTATCCATCATCCATCTATCCATCTATCCATCTATCCATCATCCATCTATCCATCCAATTACGGAACAGTGACATGATTAAATCGAAGAATTTCTATTGCTGAAAACATGCTGAGCTCTAGAAAGAGCCTTGGCATTTTCAAAGTGTATAACTTATATGTTCACACGATCATAACATTCTTTACCTTCGCCAACGAGATTATGCTGCAGGATTTTTTTATCCACTTTCTTTTGATATGTATGATTGTGCAGCTTGATGGAATTCAAGGGGATTGTTGGGCCTCAGCTTTACTGAGAGACATTCTAGTTGGTTTGATGATTGGTTTATCATTTTGTTGGTTTATCAGCAGGTTTATATCAAAAGTAGTGAACAGATTTCCATGAAACCTGGTTGAAGGAAGGGACATGGGCCAAGGAAGAACCCATTACACTTTCCAGTGGATGTGGACAAAGGGCATCACTCATGGGCCTTGATTAAAAACATCAGGCACATTCAGGGGACTGATATCTATGAGTTTGTGCAACTGTTGGTGCAGATCCCAATAAAAATGTTGCTGTGGCGGCGTATGTTCTCCAATTTGTGCCAGTCTAGGTTGAAAAGAAACAGTCTTTTTTGTAATTGCAGAATTCTGCTGTCCGTCGGTCCACATCTGTTTTCAAGTGTGACTCCACAATTAATTACACTCTGGTCACAACTATGCAGCAGCCCTCCACCAACACTTTATATAAGCTCAAGACAGGAAGCAGGAGCTTTCCTGAAAGTTGTTTTTCCACGAAAGCTCCATATATGCATCAACCTGCCGAGTTCCTCAGGGCCGAGGACAGAAACCCTGTAACCTGCTGAAGATGAAAATGTATTTGCTCATCTCCACCCGGCCTCGTGCTTCCTGCTCGGCCTGGATATTAGAAAAGTGGTCGAACACTGACATCCGCAAACCCCTCATGAATATCTGAGTCATTTCCAGGAGCAATAACAGATGTGCCGGCTCAGTGATGTCACCACAGAATGTCATTCATACTTAAACCATATGAGCTGCACTGGATTTATATTATTTTATATGTACGTGTGGGATCTCGGTGGTGTGAGAGCACAGGTTGGATGTTTTTGACTCTCGTACTTTTTGCTCATTTCAGGAGCTGTCTGCTGCGTTTAGGTGGCTGCTCTTGATGTGCATGTGGGTGTGACTTGTTTGAGAATACCTCTCCGGCCTGTCGTGCTGCGAGAAAGGCACATACTTAGTCTCAGGAAAGCCACAAAGCTGCATTTATGATCTGACAGAGGAATGAAGTGTCATAAACAACTGCAGTCACAGAGGAGGAACGTTAAAAAGTATACTTTGCTGAAATTTAGCTCAGAGAAATCCAAAATCCTTAATCCAATATTGCAGCCATAGCTCATAAAGGAAGCGTTCGTGTGTTAGATAGATCGATCTCTTTTTTTTTTTTTTTTCTTGTGCAGGAGTGTTTCCTCACTCGTCCTCTGGGAGTGAAGGCCGAAAGGGGGATTTCAGGAGACTTTTCTTCTTCTTCCAAAAAAAAAAAGCGGACACTTACTCTAACAATCTGGCAGAGACTTTGTGGATGTGCCAAGGCCCAACCATTCGTCAAAAAACCCAGGAACATAAATGTCATGAACGCAGAGAGTGATGGGCTTTATATTTCCTTACACTTCATACCTCCTTACCGTATTAAATACATCACGAAAGTGCCATTCCGCCTTATCTCGGACTGACACGCCTCAGGATTGCAGCATAAAGAGCCTGTTTTCATATGATAAGATTTATAGTTCTTAGTTCAAGAGAGAAAAATGTCAAATTTGGGTTAATATATGGTTGTCATTGTGCAATACAGGATTTTAAAGCCTCATAAGTTGTTCTAAAGTTGCCATATTCAACAGCAATCTTGTTTTTTCTTCCATTTTTCCCTGCAGGTAAAGGGAGCTCAAGCATCTCCTCTGACATAAGTTCGAGCACAGATCACACACCAACTAAAGCTCCAAAGAATGTGGCTACCAGCGAAGGTAAGGCATCTGGTGCTCATTAACCAAACTCCCCTCCCTCCCTTCTTCTTCTTCTTCTTCTTCTTCTTTCCCTCCTCCTCCTCCTCGTGCACTTTCTCCACTGCCTATTTTTGGAGAGAAACCTGTGTGTTCCTGGGATAACCCTAAATTGAAAACAAACTCACAGCTGCCATCAGAGACCAGAAAGCAAAGGCATTTCATGGGCTTTGTTTTAGAAGAAGAAGGAAAAAAGAAAAACGTCTGGCTTCTCATTGTGGAAGAATGCTTATCTAAACTGTGGTCGTATCAGGCTCAAAGCATTGCGAAGGAGGGAGGGAGGCCTGCTCGAGAGAGAGAGAGAGAGAGAGGGGGGTTTGCAGGAGACGGAGAAGGTGTGGGGAGTGAAAATAGGGGAACGAGAGCTTCACCTCCTGCTCAGACGCTCCTCGTCTCCATGCAGCTCTCTGGCTCCCTCTCGCACTCCCCACACTCCGGCAGGCGTCCAGCTCTGGGACCTGCTTGCCTTTGTCAGGAGGGTCTGAGTTATGAATGTAAACTGTGTGCTCGCTCCAGGGTTCAGAAAAACGCTGCAGCTGACTGATGCCTTCTGAAGCCTCCTGTAAACAGATGTCGCCTAAGTGGATCAGTCTCATACTGTTTTCAACAATCTGTCAGTCAGAGCTGCAGTTTTCTCTCATTTCAACAGAAATCAACAAACCAAAGCATTATGATCTGATATTATCTTGAAATAATATTAATCATAATTCCACTGTCTTGTAAAACCTTAAATCTGAGTTGGTGCTGTGTCCAATAAATGTGTTATTATAAATTAAGAAAATAACCAAACTTACCAGAAAACCCTTCAGGGTGATAAGAACTCCCTAAAATGACAGAAACCATCTTTTTGAAAACATATATTTTGTGTACTTGTTTTAAGTTTGGTCCTTAGAGGAGAAAAGGGTTAATAACCTACGTGCTGCCAGGTTAACATCCAGGATTTGGTGACACGCTGATCAGAGCTGAAACCAAAACAGTGAAGTTGTGGGGTTTAAAATCAAAACATGATTAAAGAATCTAAAACCCTCCTCTGAGTTTAGGTGGTAACAGTGCAGCTTTAAGTATTTGCCCCTTTTCAATATGTCCTATCACTAAGAAGGTAAAACATGACGATGCGTAGCATCTTGACCACACATCTCGTGGTTGTTCACGTTTGTTTATTGTCCACTGGGCAGGAACTGTTGAACGAGAATCAAACCTCAGAAGCCAGTGAATGAATCACTGAGTCACTGATTTGACCTTTAACTTTATCAAAACCCACCACAGGCACATGTTGGTCTCTCTCCCTTTGTGCTCTCGTCTCTTGACCAGTGAGTCACCGTGTGTCTTGCAAGCTCGCACGCTCGCACACTCGCCCCGTTCCTCTCATGCATTGTCATCACCAATCTTAAATTTGCTCTGGCACGCCGAACGTAGTGCTCTCGTGGTTTGGAGCTCCCCACAAGAAAACAAATAGCTGCTACGAGCCCGTGTTTATAACCGTCGCTCAGCCCGAGATTTCAAGGTGTTTCTCCGGGAGGAAAAATTCTCCTCACGAGACGCCCGATGTTCGTTCGGTTTGAACATGTGCGCCAATTACTTTGTTTTAGTGAAGTCAGTGCGACGCTCAAACTCACTGGGGTGGTGCGAGTGTGCATTCGGACAAAGTAGATGACGGTCAGTCGTGTGATCTGTCCACTGACGAGCTGGAGGGGAATTGATGTGCAGATAGAAATATAAAGACAAGAGTGTAGTTTATGACCAGTGGCTTCCAGACCATAATATCCCCCTGTTTTCTCGCAGAAATTGTTGTGTTTTTTTGCCTCCATGCTAAGTGGGAGTAATTACATGGTCTGGAACCACTACGGCCACAGTGAAATCCCCCCTCCTTTAAAAAAAGCATGGACACACACACACGTACACAGTGGCAGATCACACGGTCCTTGCCCACCTCGTCCTGTGGTCCACTAAACTAATCAGGAAGCCGTCTGGGCTGTTTCCCCACCACACACTGGGAGTATTCATGTTCGGGCCTCCAGTGTCCTCATGCTGCAGTAATGTCACTGCATTCATACAGTCACTTATGATCTCCCACAGGGGTTTTCTACAGGTAATTGGTGAATATAAATGATTCCTAGATGGAGAGCTGCATGTGTTTCTGTTTTTACTTTGCTACGACATGATTTTCCACAACAAATGACATCAGAGAACAGATTGAACTTGATTTATTTGAGCAAAGAACAAATCCTGACTGACAAACTGCAGCTTGGACATCATTGACAGATAATAATATAACAATATATTCAAAAAAAAAAATTGTTTCTCAATGTTGAATTTAAGGGCATGAAATAACCTATTGAGGGACCAAACTGAATTGAAGTTTAATTAATTGATAATTTTATTTAGTTTAATTCAATGTGTGAATACATTGAATTTAGAGTATCACTTATAAGTGAATAAAATGAGCTGTAATATTATCCATTTTTATTCAGAAGTAAAAAATGAAGCAACATTTTGTTGACATTAATAAAACAGGCTAGTTCAGACTTTATCGAGAAATCCCCACAGTCTGTCCATTTGAACAAGGGAACATTTAATCTTATGAAGTTTTTTTATTTCTGAGAGAAAGATTGTTTCCAAACCAGAGAAGTTTTCTGTCAAGCATTTCTAACCAGGAATGTTTTGTAAGATAAAAACAAACAAGAAGCTATCCTCACCTCAGGATTCAAGATCTAGTGGCTCTAAAGTAAATAATGCATACTAGTGATGATACTAGTTATTGTTCAGGTTTAATATCAGTATGCAGACAGAAACTAGGCCATTGCTCGTCTTCCTCCACAAAATCAACATGAGGAAGTTACGCTCATTCTGCTCCTGAAAACAAACGGTCATCTGGCAAGTTCCTGCAACGTGTCTCTGTTTTCATTTATTATTTAGTCGAGCTTGTGGCGTCCTGACCCAGTTGAGTTGCTTATTAGCCGCAGACAGAAAGGCACAGTCCTGAACAGTAAATCCCTCTTGTGGGATGAAATTGAGTATCTCCCAGCAGGGGTTACACTGTGACCCTCGTCTGGGCCTCAAGGGTTTGCTTTGGCACGGCCGAACTCGGAATGCGGCTCAGACGTGGAGCTGACAACACCCTGAGATGTTCAGCCTGCTCGCTGTAACTCCTCAAGACCGTTTTTGATCTTGATCAGTCGAAGTCTGTTCTGTAGCCGCTGACGTAACGCAGGCTCACAGGGTTGTTGATCATGTCAGAGCGGCCACGCTCTGCAGGTCGGCTCCATCAGCCTTTTATAATGGCACCAGGAAGGTGGGAACGCTGGGAACAATGAGTGTGCCGCCTTCCTCTCCGTCTGCCAAGCACCAAAGAAACAGTGATAGCAGTGACGGGAAAGGTTGACTCTGTCCTTCCATCCACCTCAGACGCTGTGCCACAATATTACACCTTGTAAACCTGTCAGAATTCAGCCAATTCTTTAGATTATACTTCTTTACTAAAGTCTGTTTCTTGCATTAAGTCATCACGGCATTCCCACATGAGTACATGCAGAAAATCAAGGGAGCAGTTATTTCCATTATAGATTAATGATTATTCTGTGTATGATTGATTAAGAATGAAAAGTTAGAAAATCTTTGATGTATGAGAATAAAACCAGAAAATTAGCTTGAAAATGTACAAAAACCAATCGATTAATCAGTTATTCATCTTACTGCCGCGGTGCCAAATCAGACAAGAGTGTCAGGAGTGATAATGAGTGTGAGGCAAACCGATGCAGAGCGTAGGATGCCTCAAAAATACCGAACAGAAAGATTAGCTTGTTCAAACATTTCAGAATCACATGTATAATCCACAAAGACAAAGACACGGTGAAGAAATCCGCTTCATTGGAACCTTAAATGGATACCGGAAGTGGCTATGCTAGCAAATGTTAGTACGTCCGATTGTCCATGAATGCACCTCGTAGAAAGATACCAGAAGACATTTAGGTTCGATTCCCTTGAGTTTCCCAACGTTGTTGTTCTGAAGACAGACTCCAGTGTCAACAGCTCCTCCACTAACGTCTCCACCGTGTTAATAATTTTCCCCTCACACCTCATCTGTAAACTAACCTCACACACTCGTGTTTACTCTGCTGGATATATCGTGTTTCACTGTTGATTTTTGACGCCGGCTGCAGTTCGGTGTTTATTCGTGTCGTTTCCTCTGCAGAGAGAAGATTTAAGTTTGTTTTTCTCCACTCGTGCTGTACTTGTAACTTTTAATCTCTCATCTGAAGTCGTTACGGCAGCGATCAACCACCCTCTGTGACAAATCTGTCTTTTTGAAGTTTGGGTGAAACCTAATGCTGCATGTGTTCTGTTTTTCTGCAGCTGCGTGGGGAGGCGGAGGAGTTTGTTTAGACGGGGAAGCATCTGTTTCTAGAGGGAAATGTTTGGCAGATGAACAACTGTCTTATAGTGTTGGATTGTTCTCATTCAAATGTGCAGAAATTCACATCTTTAAGAAGTTTATGCTCATAATCAGGAGGCCGAGCTGGTGGGACATGAATCTGTCCCTTTTCAGCACTTTGACTTTGGACACAAAGCAGCAGCCTGGAGTTATTATAAGAGGTTTCTCACAACGTCTGTAGTGATTGTGATGAGAAATATCAGTGATTTATCTCTAATCCTCATTGGAAATTGTCGGCGCAAAGAGAAAACACAGAGAGGCGAAGAATGCCAACGCTATTTCCCCCCAGATTTTCTCCATCAGCTGTCCTCGCTCCTCCCCCTTCCTCTCCGCCGCTCCTCCAGCCAGGAAATCTGAGCGAAAAAGCACAGAACAAGGCGGCGATAGGAAAAAAAAAAAGAAAACGAGTGAAAGCAGTTTACCGTAGGAGGAAAACGAGGAGGAGGAGGAGGGGAAGGCTGCTCAGCAAGCAGAGCTCTCCATCTCATAACTCTTCTCTGATTACTGCTCGCTCCTCTCGTTCTCGGCCTCG